AATGATGTACAAATGCGCTTTACACAATTGATGTGTGTATGGATTGGGATAACAGTTGTATGAGCCCCTAATAAAATGTTTAAAAAAAAAGAAAGAAAGAAAATCATAATAATTGTACTCTTCTTTCATTCAATGCAATTCCTTGAGTGATTCATCTATGTTGTGTGTCTTTTCCTATCCTGGGTAAGATTACATGTTATGGGTATAGCAGGTTCTATTGGCTTACCTCTTGATGTGCATGTGGGTTATTTTCATGTGGGAGCTCTTACCAAAAACATTTCTGTAAACGTTCACATGTGAGTCTTTGGGTAAACACGTCTTGATGTGTTGTTAGTAACTCTCTAGACGTGGAATGGCCGAATGATATGGCAGATGTACTGGTATATTTAACTTAAGGAATAGCTGCTAAACTGTTTTCAAACGCTGACATTTCGGCCAGCTGTGTGTGAGAGCTGCAATTGTCCCAGCCTCACCAACACTTGACTCGGTTAGTGTTTTCAGTCTTAGCCACTGAATAGGTGTGTGGATTTGGAGTCCTGGGTGGCACAAACTGTTAAGTGTTTGGCTGTGAACCACAAGGTGGATGATTCAAATCCACCCAGAAGTGCCTTGGTAGAAAAGTCTGCTGATAGTTTCCCCGAAAGTCACCATCATTAGAAACTTTATCAAGCACGTTTCTACATGGATAAGCAAGGTGTTGTCGTTAGTCAGAACATGATGGCAACTATTTTTGTTTGTGGAAGTATACATGGGGGTTTTGGTTTCTATTTTCCGGATGACTAATAATGTTGAATAGCTCTTGACATGCTCATTTGTCATCTTTAAATCCTCTTTTGGCGAAATGTCTGTTCAGATGTTTTGTTCATTTATTATTGGAGTGTTTTCTTATTGTTGAGTTTTGAGAGTTCTTTATAAATTCTGTCTACAAATTTTTTATCAGACATATGCTTTGCAAATATTGTCCCTCCATCTGTGGTTTGTCATTTCAGTCTCTGAAGGGCAGCCTCTGGAAAGCAGAAGTTAAAATTCCGGACAAGTCCGACATGCCCGTTTCTTTTTCTTTCATGGACCTTGCTTGTGGCATCATTTCTAAGAAATCCGTGCTTAGCCCAGGCTCACACCAACTTGATCTCATCTGCATCATCTCCTAGATATTTTCTAATTCTATAATGTTCTTTGATTCCAGCTTTTGTGTTTAAGCTCATGAACCAGTTTGAATTAATTTTTTGATAAGCAGTTAAGTAGGCATCAACGCTCGTATTGATTTTGGCATATGGTCTAGCAGTCGTTCTGGCAGCGTTTGTAGAAAAGATCATTCTTCCTGCACCCCTGTCAAAAGCCAGGAGTCCACCTTCATATGTGGGCTTATGATTGGCAGGTCATTTATTCTGCCCCATGGATCTATCTGTCGCTATGAAAATTGTTCTCACGTTGCTTACTGTAACTTTGTAGCAGGTTTAGAAACGAGGTGGTGTCAGTTCAACAAAAATGTTATTTTCTCCAAGTGGTCTTTTACCAATTCTAGGCCTTTTACATTGTCATGTGAATTTCAGAGGGTTTGTACATTTCTTTTTCTTTTTTTCCACTGTTGCAGAGCATCTTCCAATCATCAGCTACTGAGCAAACTGGGAATGGAATGGGTCTCTGACAGGCTTGTCTTCCCTCCCATCTCCGAAGCTGGCAGGGCTTGTACATTTCTATAAAAACAAAAACCCTGCTGGTACATAATGGGAGTTGATTGCACGTTGGAAGACCCTTCAAGAATTAGTTGAAAATGTAATTAAAATAGGTTTAGTATTAAGATAGCACATGGACATTGGTCCCCCACTCAAGTACTCCCTCAATGCAAGAACACTTTGTTCTATTTAACTGGCATTCCATGATGCTCACTTTCCCAACACGATCGCTGAAGACAAATGGGTGCATAAGCAAATGTGGTGAAGAAAGCTGATGTTGCCCGACTATCAAAAGATATAGCGTCTGGGGTCTTAAAGGCTTGAAGGTAAACAAGTGGCCACCTAGCTGAGAAGCAACAAAGCCCACATGGAAGAAGCACACCAGCCTGTGTGATCACGATGTGTGGAAAGGATCAGGTATCAGGCATCAAGGAACAAAAAAATCATAGCATTGTAAATGTAGGGAATGCAGATTGGGGACCCAAAGCCCATCTATAGGCAACTGGACATCCTCTTACAGAAGGGTCCCGGGGAGGAGATGAACCAGTCAGGGTGCAGTGTAGCACCGATGAAACATACCACTTTCCTCTAGTTCTTAATTTATATGCTTCCTCCCCGCCCCCCACTATCATGATCCCAATTCTACCTTACAAATTTGGCTACACCAGAGGATGTACATTGGTACAGATAGGAACTGGAAACACAGGGAATCCAGGACAGATGATCCCTTCAGGACTAGTGCTGAGAGTGGCGATACTGGGAGGGTGGAGGGAAAGTGGGGTAGAAAGGGGGGACCAATGACAAGGATCTACATATAACCCCCTCCCTGGGGGACAGACAACAGAAACGTGGGTGAAGGGAGACGTCGGAGAGTGTAAGACATGACAAAATAATAGTTTATAAATTATCAAGGGCTCATGAAGGAGAGGGAAGCGGGGAGGGAGGGCAAAAACGAGGAGGTGATACCAAGGACTCAAAGTGAAATGCAAATGTTTTGAGAATGATGAGGGCAGCCAATGTACAAATGTGCTTGACACACAATGGATGTATATATGGATTGTGATAAGAGTTGTATGAGCCCCCAATAAAATAATTAAAAAATAGAAAGGTCATGGAATTCCTCTGTGACCATTTTGGAGCTCGTTCGTTCTCCATAAGCCCCTTTATGGAACATTAGCCGTCTTATCAATATCATGTCTTCTGCATGACTGTGGCATAGCCTCCAGCTATCTAAGGGCATCTGTGATTTCCATCAGCGATGGATGGGAGGCCGACTTGTGGAGTGGGGTCCCTCTGGGCAGTAACTGGGGGAACTGAGTTTGCTGATCAAGGAGCTGGAGCTGAGTGCCAAGCTTAGGCTT